CAATTATTGAAATAAATAAAAAATTATTGAAATAGTAAAATAAAAAAATTAATCGTCGTCGGATTCGGATGTCGACGCTTCATCCGATGCTTCTGCGTCGTCTTCATCTTCCTCATTTTCATCAGATGAAATGTCATCTGATTCTGTAACAAAATATTCCGGAAAATTAACAAATTGCAGTATAATAATCAAACGTATGAAAACCAATAAAATACCTTGAACTTCAGGAGTCAACTCTCCCAGAGATGGACTGTACGGACCATCAAACCAATAATAATGGTACTTCCCATCAATTAGTGCCCATCCACAATTTTCCGGATTTTTATCTGAGGGGCTGCGCATGTGTGCATTACACCAAATATTGCAAATATATGATGTGCGCTTTATCTGCTGCAACAGCTCTTGTTTCGTTGGTGGCAGAACTGAGGGATCGTATCCGACGACTTTTTTTTTAACGATTTTCTCTTCTTGGTTGCTGCATTTGTACCCTTTTTCAAATAATTCATACCGTCCTTTGTTTACGTCATTTTTCGTTTTTAGGGCATACAGTCTGCACACGTACTCTTCAAGAACCCGGAATATATCGCTCGATTCTGATAATTCAGCGCGCTCGCTGTGCAGTTTTAAAAATCCTTCTTGAAATTTGATATTTTTTTTTAAAATGTCAAAAGGTCTTTTTTTTCCTTTTCGATAGAAGGCTGGGTTAAAGTCGTTTCCCGTGAAAATGTGGCAAATAGCAAGCGACCGCGATAATTGGTCTCCGAGCTTGGCATAAATTGCATTCATGTCCAAGTACAATTTTTTTTTCCCCGTGCTCAGATCAAATATTATTTCAATTTTTTCCTTTAAGTATTTGAAATTTGCCAACATTATCACGGGTATATCTGAATCCGTACAATGTACCTGCACGCGGTAATTACGATATGGATAAGGCTGGGATACGCCGCAAAGTCCACACATTTTTTTTAATAAGGAGATGCCCACCGTTGACAAAGTATTGCATGCTGAGAATACAGATGAAACTTTGCCCAACTGTAAGAGGACCTCTTTTTTCAAGTTGATGAAATCTTTACAATTTAAATATCCGAAAGAATGGGCTTATTGAAAGAGATGACATTGTTTTATGGCGCATCAAATATTTAAATAATATTCTAAGGCTCAGGAGCGAAGGTAGAACTATTTATTACACTGAAGAAACTTGGATAAATGAAGGTTAGTAAAATACAATATTAAACTACTTTATCCTGTGGGAAATTTACTTCTGAATGAAATTATATTTCCTTTTGTATTCATAAACTGATAAACTAAATTCATATTTTTTTATTGTTTATCATCACAGTACTAAAATATATTAATTTCTATGCACATAATTTTATTATAATCTTTTTATAAATATTGAATGATACTTATTATTTTCATACCATGTCTTTATCCTGTGAAAATGTTACTCAAATATGTTGTGTCATGTTACCAATTGTATTAAATTATTATTGTTTTTATTTTTCATAAGTTGTTAATGAACTTATATTTGTTACAGGACACACTGAACAAAATTTGGCAATATATCATACAAATAAAACTGTGAAAGAAGCTCATCGAGAGGGATTGTCAATAGGATTGAAAAACCCAAGTGGAAAAGGAAAGCATCTGATTGTATTGTACATATGGGCACAAGACAAGGGATATGTTGGTAAAAATAATAAAACATTTAAGATGACTGAAATTAAAAATTAGCCGATGCCTTACAATCAATCACAGCTGAATCGTGGAAACGGTGCATTGACCATGTCATTAAAGAAGAGCAGAAAATGCTGAAATTGAATGGTATTGTTGATGACGTTGTGGATAAATTTATTATTAAAGTTGGTGGCAGTGCATACAGTGAGTTGTCAGACAGTGAATAAATATTATTTGCAAAGTATTATGCTGGTTTCATTTGAAATACACATTCTTTTATTATATTTATCATCAAGACAGAATTCATTATAATTTTAATATAGGTTACATAAATTAAACCTAATCATTGATTAGTAGGTACTTTCTGACATTATAAAAGTTTTAGAACCTCAGATTCTTTGTTTACATTTTGTCTCAAGCCAAAGTGAATAGACCAATTTATTTTACTGTAAATAAGAGTGCGGCAGCTCGCGCGCTACGCTTTTTTTTTTAAACTTGGCCTCGAGCCGCTGTCGCGTCTCTTGATAAATATTCTCCGAAAAATAATTAGAAAAATAATTAATAATTAATGCGTCTTAATTTATTCAATACGCGACGGAAATTCATTCTTCCAATATTGTTGACAATTTGTGTTCCCCGATTTAAAAAAAGAAAAAGTTTCTCCAAGGGATCGAACACGGTACCTCCGCGACGAGAGTCCAGTTCTGTTCCATGCTGCTAATCGTGCTTATTCCAAGAATAGTGGAAAATGGTACATGCTTATCAGGACCGCTTGATATATATTTAATTATATATATACATACTACTTTTTTTGTAGGCCAGTGATAAAATAGTGTTCTACACTTTATCCCCGATAGGAAAAAATTTAAACTAGGCTGTTATTAATGAAAAAATTATTACCATAGAATTGCCAACTTCGAAGTGTCGGACTGAGAAATCCTACCACTAAATTTGTAGGACTAAACGGTCATTCCATTCTAACAATATTTACAAAGCTGCATACAAAAAATCAGCTTGTTATTAATTATTTTTATGGCCGCGTCGTTTCGACATATTCGGAGTGGAGGACGCTCTCAAACAAACCATCCATTTTGTAGGACAATTATTCCTCCCAGTTTATAATACAATTATTTAAACATTGTAATAAAAAATAAACTGTTAGTCAGACAATTTCAACACTCCACCAAATCGACATGCTTTATAGCTGCGCACTTTATTAGCTACCTCTATCGAGAATTTTCACAGAGGAAAAACTTGGGCGTCTCGTCGAACGGAAACTACTCACCAAGATTCAGCCTGTTATTAATCAATGAAAAAAACAGGCGGTGGCTCCTGGACTATAAGGCTCGTATTAGAATAAGCCGCACCACTCGACTTTTTTTTTGTTTTTTATGTACTTATACAGATCTCACAATATTTGGTTCAGGTGTTTGGTAACTCCATTTATACCTGTGCAAGAACTGTACAAGGTAATCCTGCGACCATTTTCGCCAAAACTCTTGAACCATACTGTTACGTGTTGGGATGGGGTTCCAAATTATATGCCAGTTCACGCTTGACAGTTCTTTATTCACCACACAATTAACACACAATGTTAATCACACTACACTCACTAAACACTGTATTTCACTATACAAATCGCTAAAAAATTGCACTAGAACACTTTTGTTACACTTTGATCGCCTATGGATTCGTTCCGAAATCGCTGTTGAAACTCAACTGTCTCTGCGCGGCGCCAATCGCGCTTATATACGCCGATCGACGCATTCTAGAAAGTACCTGTTAAATTGAGAGTTATCTAGCACCCGCGAGTACATAGTACCTACTTATACCTACGCAGGTAACGCGCATAAATTGTAAACAAGTGCAGATGTCGTTGCACTTTCTCCCTTACGCCGCTCTACATAAGGCTCATTTTAGAATGAGCCGCATTACTCGAACTCTATCGCGACCCGCGGTGCTCTGGCAAGTTCGATCTCTAGCACTTTCGCGGTTTCGTTTCGAGAGCGTTTGTGACAATACGTTGAGTAAGTGGTCATCTCCTCATGGTTTGACGTTGAGGAGGTGGTCCTCAACATTGGATGACATGTAATTGGCATCTGGGACTAACATAATGGGGGCGAGCCCACTAAAAAGTGTCCGGTAGTAAACGGCATTGGATCCTCCGAAGTACTTACACATGACATCGATCTCGTGTAGTGTATACCTATCGGAAACGTAATTAAGTCATGTCGCAATCCGCTATTTACGTAGATAGTTTTAGCAAGTAAGCAATATTATTAATTCAATTCAACAAACGATAGGCTAATATTAGACTCGAATTGAGACATGCTTGAATTTGAGCCAGCGTTCCTATTACTCTCCGTAGGTGGTGCTTGGTAGACTTGACACCAGCTTCCCATAACTCTCCGAAGTTAGGAGAGTAGGGTGGTATAAAATGCCATTCGGTGCCATTGAAGGCCAACCATTGTGCTATTTCTGGTACCAAAGCAGCAGCAAATATTATTTTTATTCCCAAAGAGACCAAAGTATACAAGTTCAGTATTTTTGTATGAAAAGTGCCGCTTCTCCTTTCCTTGTTACCTTTGTTTACTTCACTACCAGTAGCACTTTCAGAGTTTCATACAAATTAATATAATATCAAGTATGATGTACTCTTATTTGTTATAGACCCTATGCTTATTTTAATGGCTCCGTTGCATATAAAACTAGGTTTAATGAAATGGTTTAAGCTCAAAATTCTGAAGACATTTTTCCCTCAATTACCAAAGAATAAATATTTAGAGAAAGGCTACCTACCATTCATTTTAGAGCTAAAATTAACATATTTTTTCTATTCATAGATTCGGTTTTATTGTCTTAAGTAAAATAAAAGCTATTTTAATAAATGTTTGTCTTCTTGTTATTTACAACTCAACTATCTGATTCCGCTTCCTATATACTAAATATAAAGTTAACTATAAAATTTATTGTAACTATATATCTATATTCTAAATGATGTAATGGAAGGTGACTCAGAAGTCATTTTTCAACTTGACGAATCTTAAAATATAGGGAGAAAAAAACAGCCCTTGGTGAGTTTGTTGCTGGTTCTTCTCAGTACAAATTCTCCCGCCGTAGTTTTGCGAACCGATGGCGTAACTTCTTGACCTTCACAAGTGCTTGAAACAGCCTAGACTGAATGAATGATTTTTGATTTTGATTTTTTGAAAGAAAAAAAGTCATTTTCTATGAAATTCAAAATTTCATTTTGTCATGTTACAAAAGCAAACTTTATATAATTAAAATTTTATTTCTTATATTAATTGACGTGATGTTATTAGGCAACTCCCCCTTCGGCCCCACAAACGACTCAGGCCAGTTTCCTTACCGCCACAACTACGGCTAGTGGGGGTGGTTTCGGTGCTTCGGCTTCGTTCGGACAGAACGCGTTCGGCGCGAAACCTTCGGCCTTCAGCTTCGGCGGTGCCGCTTCGACGCCGAGTTTTGGCGCTACGAACACCACTAGCGCTGGTGAGTAAATGTGCAGCCTAAGAAATACTAGAAGAAATTCAACACAGCCATTAACACCGCCGTAGCATAGTTGTTTAGTGAATCCGCCTGGATAGCGGAGGGTGCCGGTTCGACTCCCGTCTGCTGCCTGACCGCATGGTTTTTTTTTCTAGTTAAATTTTCTTTAGATTTGAACATCTAGTAGCTAAATACTTAAAAAATAAATATATAATCTACAAGTACCTAGTTTAATGCTTGCAATCTTCTATATATATAAAAATCATTGCTATTCGTTAGTCTCGCTAAAACTCGAGAACAGCTGAACGGATTTATCTTATCTTGGTCTTGAAATGTTCGTGGAGGTCTAGGGAAGGTTTAAAAGAAAAAGAAAGTATGGAAAAATTGCGAGGAAGATAGTAAAAACGTCGATTTTATTTTCCCATATAAACTTCTATCTTGTTTCCTGTCAAACATTTGACGTTCTTCCCTTTTGGTACGGTAGACTCGGGTCCGTCATTTCTTCCAAATTATTGTAACGCGTACGAAGTACGCGGGGTCAACTAGTAAAACAATAAAAACACTAAATGTAATACTCCATTTCAAGCGCCAGCGCCAACATTCGGAACAGCAACACCAACACCGGCATCGACAAACTTCACTCTCAATCAACAACCGGCATCTTCCCTCGCTTTCGCACCAGCGACCACCCAATCACAACCCGGCCTCAGTTTCGGGGGAACATCAACACCTAGCTTCGGAACGCAACAAACTACTACTCAACCGTTAGGTAATACGATTTATTGAAAATATAAAATACAGTAGAACGCCGATTAACTGAACCGCCAGTTATCCGAATCAGTCCCAAGCATAAATGGACGTTGTTAAATGAAAAGGATCCAACCCACCCAAACTTAGTTTTGAGATATGTTTTTTTTTTAATTTCAGATTGTATTTGTTCTTTGATTTTCAACTTTATCTTTTTGGATTAAATTTTACTTGGATCTTGTTGTGTTTTAATAGTATTGACTTAAGGAGTACTTTGGTATACTAAACTAATTTTCTATAAGGTTGTTTGTCATTTTCATTTAACAACGTCCAATTAAAAAAATAAAACCAAGTTATTTTTGTTTTGTTTGTTGTTACAAGCTGGAACTCGCTGATGGATTCCAGATATATTTCAACTGTAATGGTTGAAAGCTAGAGGCAAGACACTGCATGTTTTGCGTGGCGCGGTTTTTTTTTGCTACAATGTATCTCTAATATTGTATTTAGTATTTTAGAACTGTGTTTGTTAAACTTAATAAGGTTTATTCTATGTGTGACACAGTTCATTTTCCTTTATTAATAATAATAATAATAATAATATTTTCACCTTAGATCTCTCTCCGCAAAAGAAACCTATAAATATTTAGGTATGTCACAGGCATTAGGCATCAACGATGCTGACATGAAACAGTCATTACGTGAGCGTTTCTTGGGGCGCCTGTCAAAAGTTCTTAAAAGTCTTTTGTCGGGCGGAAACAAGGTTCGTGCATATAATGGCTGGGTAATGCCGCTATTGATGTATTCCTTTGGCATACTTAAATGGACTCAAACTGAACTTGATGCCTTGGACAGAACAGTTCGTACATTTTTAACAGCACACCGTATGCATCACCCACGCTCCTCGACTATGAGATTGTATATCCCGCGGAAGTGTGGTGGTCGTGGCTTTCTAAATGCCAAGACATTGCATAACCGCGAGATAGACAATCTAAGGGAGTATTTTCTTAACGTCGATATGGGGATTCATAGAGATGTAGTTGCTGTTGACAATGGACTCACTCCTCTATTTTTAGCAAAAGAAAACTGGCGCAGGCCTGTAGTACTTAGTACTTTGGATCGCAGCATTGTATGGCAAAGCAAGGAGTTGCATGGCAGATTCTACCGGGCTCTCCATGGGCCTGACGTAGATTTATCAGCATCAGTATCCTGGCTACGTTTCGGTGACCTTTTTGGTGAAACCGAAGGTTTTATCTGTGCAATTATGGATGAGGTTGTGATGACGAAGAACTACCGGAGGTTTATACTGAAGGATGGCACATTGGATGTTTGCCGTGCGTGCCATCGCCCAGGTGAATCCCTTAGGCATATAATCTCCGGTTGTTCTCGTCTCGCAAATGGCGAATATTTGCACAGACATAACCAAGTGGCCAGGATAATACACCAACAACTTGCTTTGAAATACAATCTTTTAGCATCCAAGGTTCCTTACTACAGGTATGCTCCAGAACAGGTTCTTGAAAATAGCCATGCCACATTATATTGGGATCGATCTATCATTACAGACAGGACTATTGTGGCTAATAAGCCCGATATTGTATTGATAGATCGACACGAACGCCGTGCAGTAGTTGTTGATGTCGCTGTCCCACATGACGACAACCTTGTAAAAGCTGAAAAAGATAAAGAAAACAAATATCTTGATTTAGCTCGCGAGATTGTTGACATGTGGGACATCGATTCAGCAATTGTTGTGCCGATAATCATATCTGCCCATGGTTTGATAGCCAAGAGCCTCGATAAACACCTTAAGAGGCTCGCGTTAGGTGGTTGGGTCAAGAGTCAGATGCAGAAGGCAGTTCTTCTGGACACGGCCCGTATAGTGAGGAGGTTCCTGTCTATGGATCCTTAACCGCCGGTAGCAGGGACCCTGATCTTGCTGCCGATGGGGAACTGCATTTTTGTATTTTTAAATGTTATTTTTTTTAATGTTATACATTGTAAAAATTTAATATTTAGAAATATAATTTTGTATGTATTTTAATGAAATAAAGGAAATAATAATAAAAATTTTATTTCAGACTAAAGTGTCCATAGTTTTGTTTTGTTAGTAACATTTTTCTTTAATCTATGTTAGTAATACATTTCAATTTAATTACCTAATCTCTTATATGGAGGCCCACCCAATGTTGGAGTAAAGGCGATATTATTTATTTATTACCAGTCTATGTTCGATTATTCGAATTTTCGATTATACGAATCGACCCCCGTCCCAATTAATTCGGATAATCCGCGTTCTACTGTAAGTGTAATACTTAGTTATAAGCTAGCAACACTGCTGGCTTTTGTTTCATCACCAGGCTATTAATGTCCTCACTGCGGGGGCACAGGCCTTCCCTGTGGATTCAATAGGGAGATTGGGCCATGACCCACCACGCCGGCCCAGTGCGGATTGGTGGGTGCTAACGACTGCAGATGCAACTGGGACCAACGGTTTAACGTGCCTTCCGAAGCACGGAGGAGCTCGAGATAATAAGTTTTTGGTCACCCATCTAATGACTGACCATTGCGAAAGTTGCTGAGCTTTTACGATCGCAGGCCGAATGCGCTAACCAACCTGCGCTATCGGTGTTTGTTTACACTATATGTAATGTACTACATATAGTGTAGTAAAACAATTATTGTAATGTAAAAAAAATGCAGTGTTGCCAATGCAAGTAACACATGACTTTATTAAAAATAACAAAGTAACGCCATGGCGAATGAAATACGGTATAGTACGGTAACTCTACGAAAGCTGAAACGCTACGAGCGTCACATGTGACAATACATATATTATACACTTGTATAAGAAAACACAAAGTAATCAAAGTTCCCCAAACAAAAACAAAGTTTGCAAGTAGACAACAGAATGGTCTTTCATCTCATATTTACAATAGTATCAACAAAATAATTGACATTTACCCCCGCCCCTATAATGAGTGTTTAAAAGTTATTACATACTTGGTTAGAATCCCTGAATTATGAAAAAGTAGAATTATTTTTGTAACAGATAAAATAATACAGACATTTAAAACTCACTTCCTCTATTTAATTATAACACTCACGATCACACAAAAACAAACATGGGATACACACAGACTTATTACACACACACACATACGCTCAAGCACAAACATACATACACGTATTCATGTATAGACACACTTATATCTAAGTTCTAAATAGAATATATATATATATATTTGTAAATTTACTTAAAATATAGATATGTAATGGAGGAGCGGAATCACCTGGCACACGCATTGATTTGCTTAAAAGGGCACTCCTGCCACTAACTATGAGGAGCATCTGTTCGAAAGGGGCTATTTCTATGCTAAGTAAATGTACATACCTGCTAAATGCTATGTTATAAAGCAAAAAAAAATCTTCATGATTAACCCTTTCGATGGTTATCATAAAAAATGTCTTGTTTTTTTTTCGAAATTTCACGAGTTTGACTCCCAGTTGTAGCAGGCGATTTTTAAAAATCTATGAAGGCAGTTCTAGTTATTATTAAAAATAAAATGATGTCTCCTTTTAGTAAAATATCCTATCTTCAATATTTAAGATACTTTCCCTCCGTGTGAGGTAGCCGTGGGACGCCCTGTATATGAGTGATGCGTGCGCTGCTCCATTCCCCAATGCCTTATGCACCGCCTAATGTTAGGTTATTTAAGAAAAGAAGTTTCACTTCAGATGTTTTTTTTTATGTGTATCATCTTTCCTCTCGCTTTCCTGTAATTTGTTGGGAGTGATTTCGTGAAATGGGATGGAAGTGTGTAACAGGAAGTCGCGAATGCACGCGCTATTTGATTTGATTTTAGAAAATAATGTTCAAATGACTTGTTCCTTTTGTAGTAGGTTTTTTTTTTTTTACTAATATAAAGTGAGGTTTCCAATATTACACATCATACGCGACTACTGTAAGGCTCGCTCGTTTTTTTTTTAATATTTAATAGATTATTTTTATTACATTTAGGCACTTCTACAGCTGCACCAACTTTCGGATCGCAATTCCAAGCTCAAGCTACGCCTAGTTTCGGAAACAGCAATGCTGGCAACGCTCAAAGTACGCCCAGTTTCGGAAACAGTAACCCGCCAGCTCAGCAGAGTTTCGGAAATGCTCAACAACCGACTCTTTCTTTAGGAAATACGGCGGTTTCTACCCTACAAACGGGGTTGAGTCAATCTACTACAAATCTTGGAATTACTTCTACGCCTCAAGTTTCAACAGGATTAAGGTATGTACTATTTAGCTTTATTATCAGTTTGACGATAAAATCTCCCGCCCATAGGTGCGTTATTATAGTTTCAAAGAATTTATTTGAAAGAAAGAAAGAAAAAGAAAATCTCCTACTAACTACATAACAAAAGCTAATAACTAAATTTAAAACTATCATCTAGTCTAGTAGGAAGGCCAATGATTTATAATATATAGACAGGACTAGGAGCTCAGTGCCGCAAGTGGTTAGCGCGTTCGGTTGCGATCGTTGAACTTAAGCAACTTTCGCAGTAGTCGGTCATTGGACGGATGACCAAAAATTTACTATCTCTTGCTTCGGAAGGCACGTTAAGACGTTGGTCCCGGCTACATCTGCAGTCGTTAGCACACGCCAATCCGCACTGGGCCGGCGCACTATGGGAACTTTGACTCATTTTCATCTCAAAAATCTATAACTCCTGTGTTAATAAAGATATCATCATGATTTTTTTTTTCTGATAATCTTAAATATATTTGCTTTTAAATAATGTATAATTTGTGCATAAAAGTTTATTTATAATACTTACAAAAAATAGGAAAACAAAAAATATACGATTTTTTAGACTAACATCCATGTTTTAATAATTTTATAAAGGTAACTAGTAAATGTAACTGCTTTAAATTAAAAACAAACATCAAAGTAGCTCAAATGTCACTTAAGAGCTTCTTTTCTTCATCAAAAAGTTTCTAAATATTTTTTAGTATAAGGTTTTCTCAAACTTGTAATTTACGGATCAGAGAACATCTTCGTTGGTGGCTGTCCTCGAATATTTTCTTGCATTATGAAGCCTGAACTGTTTGTAGTTTTTGTTCCGTGACTCTTGAGCATCTTCTAAAAGTTACCCAAGAGGCAATACCGAAAAATGACGTATGACACTTTTACCATGAATCAAAACCTTGTGCACGGAAGATGGCACATAGTACAATTTATATTTATTAACATACAGTTGTGCTCAATCAATATAAATAGTTACGAAAAAGCATTTATGAGATGGCTTTCTTAGGCGGGTTCCCATAGTGCGGCGTGGTGGGTCATGGCCTAAACTCCCTATTCCATCCGTAGGGAAGACCTGTGCCCCAGCAGTGGGGCACTAAAATCGTATAAGTAGTCCCCGCCCCAACTTCCTTTGGCAACAGCCGCCAATAGAGTACAATAATCTCTTTCTTTCTCAAGCAGATTGCATCTCGCTCTTTAGCCTCTGTGTCAACCATAGAGGTATAAGAATAGAGTGGGGAAGGCGGCTCTAAAAGTGTCCGTCTAGTAGAAAGAGAAAGAAGATGAGAGACCGCAAGCTATCTCTCTCTTTTGTGACGCATGCGCAGTCGTCTGTCCAATAGTTGGTCCAAGCATCACATCGAAACGAAATAGTAGGATGCTTACGGTTGCCAATGCGCAAGCGCGATTAGAGAGAGAAAGCTAGCAGTCTCTCATCTTCTTTCTCTTTCTATTAGAGGGATGCTTCCACTTGTAGTAGAATCTATATCTCACCTACTCTATTCTTATATCTCTATGGTGTCAACGGTGTCAGCAACTGTCAAAATGAGAAATCACTAAATATTTTTATATTAATTTCTTTAAAACTGTACTTACGAATGAAATTACACGTTTTGGTTGTCCTTAAAGTACCCGTGTATTTTCTTTAATATCTTAAAAACACCCAGGGCTTTTTGTCTGAAAAAGGTAAAATATTTACACATTGTAGCAAAGTGTAACCGCGGCCAGACTACGTGCCCGACACATGCAAGCCGGGCAATTACCTGACTTTGGTATATTGCCAAATTAAAAGCATGTATGATGTCTCTATAACTTTAAAATTATCATAGAGGTAGGCATATGGAATACAAACTGCGCTAAAAAATGTCTTCACGCAAACTGCGATCAACACGCCGATCGTGGGATTGGTAGGATTTAAGTTTAACGTTATCTTACTCAATGAATGGATAGCCGAATTTATTTGCAGATCTTTGATTTGTCAAAGTATTCTGTCTGTGTGCATGTCGCGTTAGTATTGAAGTTCAACCAAACCAACACACAAACAAAACCTAGCGCGAGCCGAGCGCTAGAGCTCTGTGACGTCACAGCCACCGCGCGGTCATAACTTAGCCCATATTAGTCGTAGAACAAAAATTTAAACACTGTATTTTATGAAATCATTAGGTCTATAAATCTGCATTCACTGTAGGAAATAGTTATATATTATTATTTATATTGCAATTTTTTTACATTTGAAACTTAATTTTATTGATTTATATGATTTGTGCATAATATTCATAGGCTCACTTGCAGCAAATTTTGGCTAAATCTCAATTTAACTAAAACTAGATTTGGCCCACACAATAATGTCAATCATTAACATTGCCATTTTTTCTATGAGTCAGACTTAGTTTTAGTTGAATCGCGATTTAGCAAATTTGCAGCAGGTGGGCTCAATTAAATATACATATTTTAATTCTTCATTGAAGCTTCGGTACTACTCCATCTACGGGACCAAGTTTCGCTACGACCACAACCAGTGCTACGGCCCCTACATCTACTACGGCTGGCCTTAATTTCGGAACTACACCTGTAACTACATCTTCTACTACAAGTGGCCTCAGTTTTGGAAATACTTCTACTAGTTCATTGAACTTTAGTGCCAATAATAAACCTACAACGGCTACTTCTGGACTTAGTTTTGGAACTTTAACTACTTCAGCCGGACTAAGTTTTGGAACTAAATCTATTACGACCACGGCCACTTCTAGCGCAGGTTAGTAAACAATTTATTATATTATAATAACTACTGTGTTTAGTTCATTGAACTTTATTGCCAATAATAAAGCTACTAGGGCAACTTTTAGGTTAAGTTTTGGAACTATCACTACTTTCAATAAGTCAATAAATGTGTGCCAAATTTCATCCAAATCCATTCAGCTATTTTTGCGTGATTGCGTAACAAACGCAGAAAGTTTGTAGGAGTGTTGCGTTGTTGTAGGAAAAAACAAAACCAAAAATAAGGCAGTATGACGATAATATGTTTTGTCATTCCAAATAAAAGTTGATTATATTTTTTGTGAGCATCTAAACCTCGGGCCAACCACTTAAATCCTTATGAAGACCACCTAGGCTGATGTGACGATGAAGTTCTATCTCATTTTCGGTGTCATTTTATGTGTTCCGGCTTCCCGGCGGAACGATTTTCCAAAACGAGGATCATTACTAGGTCAGCAAATCAACTCAAAATCAACAGTATAATGATCTATAAGCTATTTTATTAATATACTTTTTAAATCATCGAAATCGGGTTATTCGTTCCGATTTACAACTAATTTTTTGGTAGCCAATTTTCACCGGCGGCCGAAACGTGTGACATCACAGAGGTCGTTCGTGGTTCACTCCAGTCGAACTTCAGTAACGTCTCTACGCACGCTCGCACCCGAACGATAAAGCTCTGTGACGTCACAGTTACCACGGGGCCAGCCGAAAATTCGTTTAGTAATTTGGTCATAAACTTCGTCAATATTTGTCGTAGAACAAAAATTTAACCACTGTTTTTTATGGAATCCTAATCTCTATAAATCTGCATTCTCAACTTAAATCTTAACGGCTCCTCATTGGTGGACCCGAGAACCACATGCTTTTATGTTAGGTTTTAGACAAGAATTTAAATTTTGTTTTCATTTTTGTTCAAATGTCGCTATGATTTTCAATTATTATCACTGGAGCAGAGATCCACATGCTCTTTTAGCTTTGATTGCTTATATAATGAATGTGTCCGTAGCTGTCACATATGTCTTCACATTAAATTAAAATAACCATTCCCACCAATTTTGGTCAGGCATTCCGCCAGGAAGCCGGTACATATAAACTGTCACCGGAAATAACAAATAGCATTCTAGGTGGTTTTCATAAGTATGAACTTGGTGAGCCCGAGATTCACATGCTCATCTTTTTTTTGTTTTTTTTTCTTGTTGTTATATTCTTCTCTATTAGGAAAGGCAAAGGCAAAGCCTGCTACGCAGCCATAATGTTATTTTTGTATTAATCTTCTTTTTTTTACATTAGAATGTGTAATGTTTCTTGGATTGTTCAACATAAAATATATCGAGTCAGCTTTCTGGATAAGCTTCTGTGTGGTAGTCAACACTACAATAAAGTTCTCATTTCCACTTGACCGGAATAGCGTATATTTTAAAGATGCCACTAATTCTTAAGTAACGCAAACGATTGTAACACAAAATCACATCAGTTTTATTTCACAATATCCACTATGAACGAATCAAAGAATAATTAAAATATAAAGCCAACCGCACTCGATGAAATCGCGCCAAAAACTCCATATTTTTTCTGATTTTTATTTTTCGTCATGGTACCATAGAGAAAAAAAAATGTCACACCGTTTTATGTCCATTTTGACAATGTCATTTTTACGAAAATAACAAACATGATAAATTTTAGTATTGAATTGTTTAATATAAATGTATCTAGTTGTAAATAAATTGTGATTGTTATTTTTACAGCTACAGCCAATGCGACGAGTGCTCCGTCCGGTATAACGGCTTTAGGGAAAACTACGGCTTTGACGACTTTGCCGTCTTTAACGGCTGCCACTACGTAAGTTTATATATCTACATACTTAGATTAAAACAAAAAGGGAAGATACGGGACTCGGGGCTCAAAAGTGATCCGCTTAAATTGTGGTGCATGACCATTATTCGCTTTAGTCACAATTGGACATTCAAACACGCTGCTTCTGCACTCAATATAACAATATTGCGTATATTCTGTGTTATGAAGATAAAACAATGCCTTCGATGCTTTTATAAAGAACACAAATAGTACAAAATCAAATAACAAATACCTCGGCAACACTTTTCAATCGTAAAACTGTAAAAACATTTTTTTCTCAAAATTCACGGTTTGTCGTTAATGTTATTTACACAATCGCCATTTTGTTATCAAGAAAAGGACAACAATACCCTGCGTTGAAGCGTATAGTTCTGTCTCGCTCGCTCGATTGAATGTTTATTTACAGACGTGTGCGTGTGTGAGAATTGCATAAGTAGTTGAGTCGGATCATATTTTATTTGATGCTAGTATCAGCGTACCGTATCTACCCTTTTTGTTTTAATCTAAGCCTACATATTATCATATTTTAACCCCATAATATTGACGTAATAAGTCTTGGATTAAGAATGTTAAGCAACTTTCCCAAAGGCTAGTTATGAGGTGGGTGAACAAAAATTTATCATCATGCTTGCTTTAGTCTAATTCGAACTCTGCCGATTATTTTCTAGGCTTTTGTACCTCAAAATGGTACCAAAAGATAAAGAATCTAAAAATGTTTGTAACCTGGTAAATATCCCTATAGTATAGTAACTAGTACCCATTAAGTTTTTTGAAGGCTTACTTTTTATTTATCGTCAATCAGGTTGATTAATAAATAAAATGTTTAATACCTTAATAAAACGTTTCCTTGCTACCTAATAAAAGGTTTCTAAGTTTGGTTCAACTATCTCTTTTTATTTCTATCAAAGTTCTATCACAATCGCCTTAGGATATTGAATTATATTTTTTTTTTATACTAAAAAATATAATTAGTTTTATTTTTTAATTACAGAAAGTGTATTTTTAAATAAAGAAAGATATTTAACGTAAACATTTTCTCTTGATTAAGTTAAATTTTGAAAATATATCATCTTTTGCAAGTGATCTCTAACTTTTTTTGATGTGTGTATTTCATTCATAATCATAATCTTTGTTGCTAAAAACACGGTATACAGGTAATACATAAAGTGGGTAGACCACGTGTTTTGCCATTTTAAAATAGCATGCAAATACATAGGGTACAAATACGAGAAGAAAAAAAAGAGATTAATTACTTACAACAAGTTTCTATAGAATTATGAATGTCAGAGTTAACTAATATTATGTCAATAAAATATACAATGTCAACATATTAATATTACAAGATTTCTAAATGTCAGATAAGAAAATAATTATTATAGGATAAGTTAAACTTGTCATTAATTTTGGTAATTGAAAAAACTTTTTAGATAATAGAAATTGTTTTCATTTAGCCATCTATATAGTTTATTTGTAAACATGTTCATATTTAGCATTTTCATGTCTGGTGGTATTTTATTCATTTCATATTCCCCCAGCACCACGGCAGCCGCTCCACCCGTGGCCGTATCTTCCATCACCTTCGCACAATTGGAAGAGAATATAAACAAGTGGACCCTAGAATTGGAAGAACAAGAGAAGACTTTCATCAACCAAGCGACCCAGATCAACGCTTGGGATAGACTGCTTATTGCAAATGGAGAGAAGGTAATTATTTCTTCCTGTGCGTCATTTAATGATATTTAAATGTACTGTAAACGCTCCGAAATGTCAAGAAATTAAAAATTATTAATGGCAAAACTATTCAATTCACGCGTCTATGTGTCCTATTTAATAAGTGTTTTAGGGGAATAGTTAGTAGTTGCTGCTTGCATTTCTTAAGCTTAAAAAAGGCTAGAAAGAATTCGACACGGCCATTAGGGCCGCGGTAGCGTAATGGTCAGTGTAGTCGCCCGGATAGCGAAGGGTGCGGTTTCGAGTCCCGTCGGCACCCTTTTCCGCGTGGAATTATTTTTAGTAATAGATTCTTTAGATTTAAACATCGAGCAGTTACATGCTTAAAAAATAAAAATTATAGTTAGTAGTTGTTAAAGAAAAGAAGCTAAATTTTTTTTGGAATGAGTTTCAGAGTAGGTATATTTATAATAATAAGAAGAAACCTATGACGGTTATAGAAGCAACCATCGAACCGATTTGCCCCAAACTGGATTTATTTCAAAATTAGTAATGCAAAGATGATTTAATTGCACTATTGGTTCATTAAGAGCGGACGCGAGCTGAGAGACATTTGAGAAGTAGGTATTTGAAAAAACTATCGCAGTCCCGCATTGGCAAATACCGTGTGATAGATACAACAGTAGTTAACGCTGAAAATTGCATATAAAAATTGCAAAATTCGAGTTTCGGCTCTCGACGATTTTCTCCTAGAAAATTAGATATATGTTAATAGTAGATTGTTAACCGAGGGTGGAAAGAATCAATTCCCGAGGTATTTAGACGCCCGAGCGCAGCGAGGGCGGCTATAGTCCGAGTAGGAATTGATTCTTTTACCCGAGTTAAACACTACTTTTCATTTCGAATATGAGGAAAATAAAGATAAGTTGTTTAACAAAAATATTTATTCATAAATAGTTATATATATACCATAAAATTAGAAGTAGCTATTTAAAATTAATTATCATATTAGGACAATTACTGAAATTAAAAGTAACATTCTTGTTTGAAACTATGCTGTTTGATATACTATTACAAATTTGGCTGTTTTGGATATCTGTAAAAGTAGGACACTCTGTTATTTCATCAAACGATGGATTCCATGGCGGATACTCCCTGGAAGTTGTCTGCTGAGGCGAATTGTAGGAGCCTGTAGTTTGCTAGACAGTCCATTAAAATATGTAAGAAATACACTTTCGGAAAACGATTTTATATTCTTCTCTGCTCACCACTTTATAAAATCATTGTATGTATTTATATATCTCTTTTTTAACATTTCTGGCAAAATATTCTCTATAACACAATTTGCCTCGTCTTTAATTGAATCCGGTGTCAACATTTCTGAATCGCTTGAACTCATTTTTAATATTCAAAGTTGGATTGCTCTGTTTTACTTAAAAGATTATTATTACTATTTTTTTATTCCATCACATAACAGATGCATAACAGTTTAGTATCCCGCCAATTTATGTCGACTTTTTAAATTTAAATATGGAACAGCGTAATTGTTGCGGCTTATTCCGCTCAAAGAAGTTTGTGCTAAGTTCAAACTGGCTGTTTAGAAACTCACATGGCGGCAGCATTTTTTTTTACAAAAAACTTCACGCCTGACAGTAGTTCTATTTTTAGAGTTCATTCCGTCCCTTAGGCGGGAAGTAATTTGTATGAGTCTTTCCCTCTCTAGAGAGGGAAGCAGCATTTTCCACCCAACAAACAGATCAAAACAACACCACTTTCCGAGAATGAGAAATGAAAAGAAATTTTACACAAAAGGATAATAAGTAGTTATACTATACCTCTATGTTTTAATTTTTTTGTAAATGCTTATTGAATCCATACTAGAGGTCTTTAGTGATGATAAAAAATTGTATATTTTTGGCCTTTTTCGAGTGCTTCTAATTTCTTTGAAACACAAGTTATCGGAAAAAGGAAAACATAGGAACATAGAATGAAATGTAAAATTATGTTTTATGTATGAATATCAATTCTTTAATGATAAAAATTAAGGAGGAATCAGTTGAGAACGTTTGTATGGAAAAACATTGCGCGCCTCCCTTCTTAATAAAGTTATCTTTTTCCACATAAAAATTTTCGACCTCATCAAAGGAAAATATTTTTAAATTTAATGACCTTAAAAACTTTGGTCATTTACTTTAATCTATACATATAATAAAATGGTAGTAAAGTTTAAAAGAATACTTGGGGTATGATCTTCAATCGATAACAAAGTCAAAAATATATTTTTTTAGAATTTTTGTCTCTCTGTATGTATAATCTCAAAAATACTGCATGGATTTACTTCACATTTGGCACGAATATTATTAAGAATTCGGGTCAACATATAGGCTACATATTATCACGATATCACCCACTACGGGGAACAAGCAGTGAACCTTTATTTCTAACTAACTCCACGCGTACGAAGGCGGGCAGCCGCTAGTGGAAATATATGTTTTTAATACATTTACTTTAATCCTAAATATATTTATATTCTAAACAACTAATTTATCTCACCAACAGATAGTCGAGTTAAATGATGCAGTCCAAACAGTGAAGAACGAACAACAAAGCTTGGAGCACGAGCTAGACTTTGTATTGGCACAACAGAAGGAGTTGGAAGATTTACTAGCACCGCTCGAGAAACAATTGCACGATGCGCCGGACCGATTAAGAGATCCGGAGAGGGAGCATATGTATGGTTTTTCATTAAACCGTTTGGTTAATAAATAGTAATCCTGCTTAATTAATCTGATACCTGGACTGAGAGATATTTTCTATGTTTTTTTAAGACATGTGTTTAAATTTTATAATATTACTAGCTGTCCCAGCGAACTTCGTACCGCCATAAAAAATAGGGGTTGGTGGTAGAAGGGTTAAAATTTACGGTTCGTATTTTTGAATGATGTATCATAAAAAATAAAAACATTGTTTTTTCCAAAAAACAAATTAGCGTGGACCAGTGCTTAACATTTAGGGGGATGAAAAACAGATGCTAGCCGATTCTCAGCAGCATATGCATATAAAATTTCACGATAATCAGTCGAGCCGTTTCGGAGTAGTTCAATTGTGCACACCGTGACAAGAGAATTTTATATATTAGATTTGTATTTCCCTCTATCTCGCCATAGTAATAGCCATAGTGTAATACATGTCCCTATTGCTGGGGCATAGGCATAGAGGTATAAGAATAGAGTGGGGAAGGCGGCTCTAAAAGTGTCCGTCTAGTAGATAAGAGACCGCTAGCTATCTCTCTCTCTCTTGTGACGCATGGCATCCAATGGCATCACATCGAAATAGTAAGATGCTTACGGTTGCCAATGCGCATGCGCGATTAGAGAGAGAAAGCTAGCGGTCTCTCATCTTCTTTCTCTTTCTATTAGAGGGACACTCCCACTTGTAGTAAAGTCTATATCTCCCCTACTCTATTCTTATACCTCTATGTGCATAGGCCGTGCCTATTAATAAAGTAATCAATACCACGCGGGCCCAGTGCGGATTGGTAGCTGCTAACGACTGCAGATTCGGCCGGGACCAACAGCTTAACGTGCCATACGAAGCATGGAGAATTTCAGTATACGTTATAAATATTTGGTCACCAATCCTATTATATATGACTGGCCATTGACATTGGCTTAAAGTTAAAGTCAATAGTCATATTTTCCTTATTCATTTAGGTACAATTTGCACGCTTATAAAAGTCAAATTTTATTCCATCGTTTCAAGAGTCTACCAAAAGGCCTTGTCTGAGAAGAACCGTCAAGAAACACAGCAAGTTTTGTCATCCCTTTACATTTTCTATTTGTATTTATTTGGAAAGAGTCATAATCCACATCAGATCATTAATAATGTAATTAATTTTAAAAATATAATGAAATAAAAGACCAGACTTAACTTTCACAATCGCGCACTCCCCTTGCCCTTGCCGTCATTTATTGCGTCATCGAGCTCCTCGAAATCTAAATGTTAAAGATGTTATGTCTAATGAAGAAAAATTAAAAACTATTTTTAATCAAAAATATGAAAATGTTTCAGGTATACACTGGCAGAGAACCTGGATTCTCAACTAAGACAAATGTCCGAAGACTTGAAAGAAGTCATTGAACATCTAAACGAAACAAACCGGAGTCAAGACAGCAATGATCCTGTAAGTTGTAATAATGTTGTTTGTTTATTATTTATCATACCTGCGTTTCACTGAGAAAGAACAATATACAGGAAATGATGAATGTTTTGCCTTTAACAATTAACCCGATAAGTACTCCGAATAACACAAAACTAGGCTATGGCAACCGCTTACCATCAGTTTGGCCACTGCTTATTTGCCACGCTTTTTACATGAAAAATCAAGAAAACTATATACGTAGTTGCACAAAAGCTACAGAGAAATGTATAATATGAGGAGCTGGCGAACAAAATTGTATAATTAAATAAAATTAAAATTTACTGCTGTATAAAACTGAATGACATACCTCAAGTGAGTTTTTGGCTTAGTGTTTAATTTATACATTTAGTAATTTTAACACTGTTTTGGCGGTCTTGATTGCAAATTATTTGAAATTCAAATTCTACGGGCCCGAAACCTCTGCACCGTAAAAAAAGTAGTTTGACCAGATGCGTGATTATACCGTTTTGTTCGCCAGCTCCTCGTATTATATAGTATTAAACTTAATACCTATAAGACAGATTAGCGGGCAGTTTTAATAATCAAATTACATTAAGCCTATTACAGCTTATTTTTATTATTTAGATTATAACAACTGTTGCTTATAAACGGAGACAGACTTCGATCATCAATACTATAGATAACGGGTCACCGACTAAAATCCGTCTCGCTAAACATAGCCTCACTTGAGGCGTGAGATCTTATTTTCAATTAGTTCGGTTAATACATAGACAACGAGTCAGTCGGTAAAAGGTCGCATGTACGAAATAACATTTCGTTATTTGTAACTTTATCCCTTTGTGACATGGTTGTTATTAGGTTCAACTTTAACTGTTTTAAAAGATTTGTATTTGTTTCTTAGACATCGAATGCAACTGCATAAGTATATACTCTCGCGGACAGTTTTTAGCTTTGATTTTGTATGCAACCCGTTATCTATAGAATTGTTGATCGAAGGTGCCAGATTATACTGGAGATTGATTATTAAAAAATGGCCGTAGGGTTTTTTTATTAGGGATGCAACAATACCGATACGATAATCGTATATTGGCGATTATCGTAAGTTTTTACGATCATTCGCTTTCGTAACATTATTAAACGATATATACGATTCATTCTATTCTAATATTTTTATATGTTGAGTGGTGAGTTTGAGCTCACGAAAACTATCATAGTTTTCGTAATTGTAAATTATGTCCATTTTTGTGAAATGTAACCAAATATACTTAAAATTTGTTTGAACAGTGTTTATTTGTATTGAAACGCAAACAATATAATCAGCACACTTAGTACGAGTGCGAGCTCACGAAAATTAAAATAGTTTTCGTAACTGTAAAACTCGTACTAAGGGTACTGTAGTTACTAGTTTCCGAGAGAAACGAAACGCAAAACGCGTCAAGTCTGAACATACCAATTCCTTTTATTTGACATTGACAGCTTTAACGCAGGAACTGAACAAAAAATATACAATTAAAAAACATATCCTGATTTTATAATTTTATTAATTAATTAATTAATTTAAAAATGCGAAATATGTATTTTTTTTACTTTCATAATATTAATTGTTATTACAAAGTGATAAGCTGACAAAGAAAGCTTTTAATAAATTCAATAAAATGATATAAAACAAAGATCGTAATGCATTCGTATCGCAATTCGTTAATATCGTATTTGACTATTACGATGTATTCGTCATTCCTATTGGTATCGTAAGTCCAGCCCAGCGCATCGTTGCATCCCTAGTTTTTATTATTCAGAATTTGCATTAAAACATAATACTTCTAAAGTAAATTTTACTAGAAAAATTTCACGCGGTCTATTTCCGTCTAAAAATAGTGGAAGTTGCCGGTTCGAATCATGCATGATGTTTTGACCGCGTGAAATTTTATCTTGTAAAATATTCTTTACATTAACAAATTTAGCATTTAAATGCATAAAATAAGAATAATATTTTCACCTCCCATTTCTTAATTTCAGATTGTTCAAATCGGTCGCATATTGAACGCTCACATGTCATCGATGCAGTGGATAGACAACTCCATAGCACAGATTTCAACAAAACTAGACCAATTGAAAGCGACACATGATACTTTGAGAAGGGACAATGAAAGATCTTTCCAATTAACTTACAATTGATTAAAATATCATTTCTCGTAATAAAAGTGGAGTAGTTTTCTAAAGGAAGAATTTGAAAAGGGAATGGATATTTGAATAGCTTAAAAATAGTATGAGCAGAGTCTGAAAATATGTCAAATGTCACAGTATTTGTATGAACCGGTCTATTTTATTTAGTGCGATTGTTGGCAGTCGATCAATTTTTAATGCACACAACTCCATATTGTAACGCAGAAACACATCCCTGTCAATTATATTCAGCATTTTACTAGATTTGTTTAATATAAAAAGATGAGTAATGTTACTCCCCTATCAATACTGATTTGTCGTCCTCCCAAATAGTGTGAATCAAATGTAAATTGGCATGAAAAGTTATGATTATATCGATGAATGACTTATTTGAAATAAAAGTGATTGTATAAAAATGACTTTTATTATACTCTTGATAACAACAAGATCGGTTTAAATTATTTCACAACATTTGTAATTACAAAAACTTTATTTACAAATCAGATTCATTATTTCTAATTGTAAAACTAGCTTAACATAAATCCAACAAATCTTCTTTTCACTTCTGTCAATAAATAAACCACAGTAAACACTAAAGATTGCAGATGCAGCCGTGACCAATGACTTGAATTTTTGGTAACCCATCCAATGACAGGCCATTGCGAAAGTTGCTTATCATCTAAAATCGCAGATCGAACATCCTAACCACTTTTATGCCATTGAACTCTTCAACTCCTTTAATTATTTATCCCATAGCAATAAGAGCTATATTTATAAGGATAGTATTTAATATCATAGTTTCCTGTTTCTTTCTTCTTTGTTATATAATTATGATGGCTTGCTTTGAGAGTTCTTACAATTCTTTCATCACAATAAATAATGAGCAATATAAAAACAATTCATTCACAGTAATAAAACACTACAGTCGCACATACTCATAGGTCTCAGTTTTTTATTCAATAGGATATTTGTCCAGTCCCAAAACTCATTCTATTCTTCATCCCATAGCAATAAGGGCTACGTTATTTATCTTTGAATTTTCGGTCAATACTTCAAAAAAAATCATTAATGAACACATTCAATAAACAATCCCAGTAATAAAACACTGCAGCCTCACATTCTCTTGGGTTTGCAAGCACAGGATAATTAGTTTCTTGTGCACAATACTGCATATTGTACGATTGTGGGATATTTGGTCAGCGCTCAGGAATATAGCCAGTTTCTTAGCATCCACACGGCAATAGCAAATCCTGGACATGTCTTCGTTCACTTGAGATTCTGTTTCGGAATCTGAATGCTCTATGGGCCCTGCAATAGAAAAATTAAAGAAATATCGATATTCTTTAAAGAAAACAATTAGAAAAACTTACGAAGCTGTTCAGAAGGCGGGACTCCAACCTGCATCCGCTATCCGGAGGCATGCACAGACCAATTATGCTGCCGTAACCTTAATCACCATGTCGCATTTCTTCTAGTATTTCTTAGGCTGCAAGCTTCGCATTGTAAGTTGCAAAACATAATGCCAAATAACAAAAACAACTGTGTAAAATGGAGAAAGAAACAAACAAAAATAAAGAAGTTTGAAAGAAAAACACAAATATATAATAAATATATTTATTTATTACTCCGCATGGATTTTTTTTCGAAGTTATATGTTCTTTAAATTTAAACATCAAGCAGTTACATGCTTAAAAAATAATAATTATAACTATAATTGTTATTTTTTCTTTCCAATGTTAATACTTGTAAAGTATTCATTTGACATTGTGCTTTACCTACAATGCGAAGAGATGGCGCTGCCTTGCAGCTTAAGAATGGCTGGAGGAATTTCGACGCGGCCGTCAGGGCCGCGGTAGCATAATTGGTCAGTGCATTTGTCCGGATAGCGACGGTGCGGGTTCGAGTCCCGTCTGCTGCCTGATCCGTGTGGATTTTTTTCTAGTTACATTTTCTTTAAATATAATAAATATAATCTTTATAGTTTTCGAGAACATTATTATATTAGCATAGTTCTTTCTTGAGTGCAATCGCCTGGATTGTGCTGGTTCAAGCCCCGAAAATTTAACCATGTTAATTTTTTTTATATTTTTTCATGCATTTATAAAATTAATAAAAACCGGTCCAGTGCGAGTGAATTCGCACACTATTAGTTCAATAAAATTAGGTATCCATACAACAGTAGATGCTGAATTATATAATCAAGCAAAAAACCACGTATGTTGGATCGGCCTTTAAATATCTATTATATTTTAATTTAATTAGGTTAGATTAGATTGATCAGTTTGAAAGTGAATATATTTTTATTTATTTTGTGAATATTTCAAGAGTTGTACCTGTTGGTTGTCAATATTAATATTAAGCAAAAAACGCATGTTTGTTGTATTAAGCCTTATATAAATAGTTTACTCTAGATTTGTTATTATAATGGCAATAGAAATACATCATCTGTGAAAATATCAACTGTCTCACGGTCCATGAAGTACAACAGTCTGGGGTCAAGAAAGACAGCGGAGTGGAGGAGTTTTAGTAATAGATTCTGCGTTAACCATTTTGTATGGAACTCTAATAAAAAGAACAGGGCTCATAAGTTGTTGTTAATAAAAGTTTAATACTATTTTTGTCAGTTTAATACAGTTCCCGGCTGAGATGAAAGTCTAAAATGATCAACAACAGTCAAATGCATCAATTTACAGATTTTATTTGCAGCCAGAAACAAATTGTGTACCGATAGTGGGACTACTCTTATAAAGATTCATTAAGTTACATTGCGAGAATAAAATCGTGCTGTGAAATATCGTAAAGCAGACAGGTTCTTATGTATTTTTTCTTTGTTTAATACTTGCAAAAATATTTTATTTGACATTATATTTCACTGCCTTAAAGTGCTGCCTGGTAGTATAAGAAATTTGGCAAACCATTAAGGTTTCACACTAACTTTATTCCTAATTTCTTATAATTTATCCTCACATTTATAATAGCTGACAGAGAATCAAAGGATAACATAATGTGATTAATTCTATGATAAAGAAAATAAACTGTCTTATTACCTCCAAAAGCCTCCACTTTCAAGTCCTTAAACCTTGTTGATACTTTAGCCATATCTGTTCTGATTTGCAATGTTAGTCTGCCTTCAGCCGATGCCCGGACAACCACTTCGGATGCCATAGTTCTCATGCGATCTATTGTTGTACGTAATTGTTTCAATGGGGGAAGCTCTATCGAAATCTGGAAAATATAAAGACCACTAAAATAACAACATTGGGAAACTCTAATAATTTAGGACTAACCATAGTCTAATAAAATTAAAAAAAATGGTTGTAAATGCTCTCTAGCCACTGCTACCTATTGATAAAATTTATTGTAATAAGGTTTACGAATAAAGAGGACCAAGGGTGTATTTTAAAATATTGGGCCTGGGCCACTTAAGATTAGCATCTCTTGGCCATAGGGTATATACGCTCCTGAAGAGAACCAGTAATATAATAATGAATCAATTAGCTATTTCAGACATCAAACAATGCTTACAATTATTGGAGAGTACATGATAATTCTTACAGACCTGACGTCAGCAGGGTATAATAAATCTAATAAATATGATTTTCTACAAGATTTAATATTTTATTTCTTAAAAAAATATTACTTAAATCTTCTATCCTTGAGAAGGCATATCAAGCTTACTGATCCTGACTGCATCAGTAGTTAATTGCAGTCCTACATAATACAAAACCTATAAATAATTAGCAATAAAATAATTCTGTCTAATTTTTACTACAATTTGTAGAAATGAACTTACATCAGGATATGGTATCTTGGGTTCATTGAAGTCTGCCCACATCTTCCTGGGGATAACAACAACTGGAATGTCATGTGTAACATGCCTCGTTTGCTGCGAAGTTGATGAAGGCTGTTGTATAAATAAAACAAGCTTATAACTAAAAATACAGAATAAAACAAGTGAATTGCCAATAAATCATTTTTAAGCTTATCCAATTAGGCATAAATTATATGAAATCATACAAATATTTACCATTTCAATTTCCAAGGTAAGACAAGGACATTGCTTCTTAGTCAACTTCATTTTCAATGACTTTGCAGACTTCAAAGTAAGGAGAGATCTAGCTAAATTGGCTGGACATTTAAAAATAAGAAATTAAATTATATTAACTATGAAATCATTGTTTTCACCGAGTCTTCTATGAAAAAATAAGAGAAATTATAAAAACTAAAAAAAAATATAAAATTTTAAAATTAAATAGCCATTTATATTGCAAACTGGAAATGATTTAAAATTATCATGAGATATGCAGTGATACTTACTTTTATAACACTACTGAACAATTCTGATCAACTTACCGGCTCCGAATCCCAAATAAATATCCTTGTGCTCATCATCAAGCCCAACCATTTGATATTCAGAGAAAAACATTGACTCAGGAATCTCACACCACAAAATAGGAGGTGCTGGCCCATTATTTTCGTCGCTGACTATGAAGTAAAGCTTATCTTCTGCTACTCGTAACACACACTCCTTCGATAACTTTGATATTGTTGTCACTATATCTGTAATAATACCATCAGCTGTTAACTTCTATTTAGTCTACCAATGTTATACTTTGTTATTTACAGGAATTGTGTAAAAGTATCTATATGTATCTCGTATTTACTTGAGAACTCTCGCATAGGACCTGCATCAATCATCACTGAGCGAAATTTCATATTTGATGTACAAAACTAGACTAGGCTTCTGCATTTAGATTATATTTATTTACTTTTTTACCGATTATGCGTTCGTGCCAGGTTCCCGGGCAATATTTGACATTTGGCATTAAGCTTTTTAAAATAGACCCCAATAAGGAAAGCAAGAAAAATCATACCACACAGCCAAGACACAAGTTACAATGAGTTACAATAACCACTAATCTTATCATACATTCAAAGTTAATATTAGGATCTTATAACAGGACTGACGAGACGACTGTTACCGACAAAACGGGACAAGTGAAAGATATAGTTAAGTTAGACGTAGGGTAAGTAGGGTTGCAACGATATATTGGAATATCGATAATATCGAGACCAAAATATCGATATTTAAAATTCACTGATATCGATATTTCGTAGACTAAATTTGAACACACACAATATAAAATTAATTTACCTGCTATGATTATCTAAATTGAATAATATCGAAATAACTATTACTTTGAAATCGCAAAAGCTTATAGATGTATTCAAAAAATCTAGAACCCCAAGAAATATACTAAACTGCTGTGGAGTCTGACGTGATTCTCTAAACCTAAAATTAAATTTGACAACAGTGTATCCTTGTCATTATCTATACAGAATGAAAAGGAGAGACTGATGTTAAATTTACTTTTAAGTTTAGATAATCATGCCAGAATCGACACCAACGTATATAGGTATAATCGTATACCTAAAGGTAACTCATGCACTTAAATTAAATCCTTGCCTCTCTTTCTAGATAATTGTCAACTTTTGAAATTTAATATCATTGTAATATAACACAAAATAAAATTAAGAATCTTATACAAATCGTATTTTTTTTAAGCTCGCCAAGTCAAGAAAGTATGGTCACGCCCCTGATGTGTGGGAGACTAATCAATTTGCGTATTTGATGTGCGCTAAAAAACCGACATAGCTTGGAAAAGCACGAATGTAGTGAAAACTTAGCGAAGGCATTCGCAAATGTCGTCCCACATATGCGGGTTGGCGCATTCGTGCTAACGTATGTGAGTGAACTGATCAAACACAAACCGTCCGAGCCAATAAAAAAAATCCTGCTTGGCGCGATTTCATCAAGCGTGTTTAACGAAAAAACTGGCTCAATGCATTTTGCGAGAAACTCGCCAACAAACATATGAATGTGTCGCACTCACCCCGTATTCTAAAGTCAATAAAAAATTAAAAGGAAAAAATATCGATAATATCGAGTTAAAATGGTCGATATATCGGATATCGATATTTTCCTGACTTCGATATAAATATCGATATTTCAAAAGACTTTGCATCCCTAGACGTGAGGTCTTTTACCCTTTTCTAGTAAGATGACCATTACTTCTTTATGACATTGATGGATTGTTATAACAAGTTGTTGTTCTCTTGGGAATATTTATTGATATGCTGAATGCAGACCATGGAGCAGTACATACGGGATATTTTGACAGGCAGCGGCTGAACGGGCAGAAACCGAAGAGAAACGGGAGAATCTTGTCATTGAACTCAATCAGGCTTTGGAACACATTTCCGACAGGGATACCTACTACCTACTAATATTTTAGTTGAGTTCAATGCTAAGAAACTCTTACCCTGCCCTCTCTTCAGGACTATAGATGAAAAGGCGGTTGTTATCGTTTTCGACCAACCGATAACAACCGCTTTTTTTGCTCTACACCCATAAACAACGGTTGTTTACGGTTGAAAACATTTTATTATGTTTTATTATGGCCGTTTTACGTTCAAGTATGTTATTATTTTTGTTTATACCTACTAGCTACTACTACTAGGTACTTCATACGTGCGCTGTGGCACAAGTATTTCAGATAGACAGACGCGGTTTACGGCCACGGCTGGAGTAACGCCTAGTTGTATTCGCTTGCAATGTAAGCCAGTGGTCAAACACAAGTGACCAATAAAATAATTATCTGCGAGACTCTTAAAAGTGGCTCATTTTTGTGACGTTTTTAACCCTAAAACATTTTTTTTGCTTGGCGACTTCGGTATACATACAGATTAAATACCAATTATGTAATTGTAATTTGCGACTTTTCCTTTTTAATAATAGTTCATATAAAGTGGAAGAAATTACAAAGAACATGCCTAATTGCAGTGATACATGATATTTGATGATATGTATTGTGTGAAAATCTCACCAATATTAGAAAAATCTCAATGTCTAAAATCACTTTTATAGAATAACGAAATATCATCACAAAATTACTTCTATTTAGAAAGATATCGATATACAACAGCCTTGGGTCAGCACTATGCAAAGGCGCTATTTTCGTTTCCTAGTAACTTTAGGTTTGTTTTTTCGTAGGTATACCATCCCCATTGGTTTCAGTACTGAGAGTGTACGTCAGAAATAAGTAGGTAAATACATTTGTTTATTATCTGTCGGGTCGGGTTAAAAGACATTGCAAAATAATTCATAATACCTATTTAACATTTTATGTTTTACATTACACCATGACAAAGTAGGTAATTTAGTAGTAATACCTATTTGAACTAGCAGCTCGTATATTATAACAATTTCGACTCGGGAACAACGATATCAAATACCCTAGATACACCACGTGCGCATAAAATGTGTCCCTATCAAGAAGTGCTTGAACACGACTCAAGTACTTCTTGGCTCTCAGTCACGCGCAGACCGTTGAAAAGTTATCATGCCGCTGAGCTCCGTGACAAAATTGCGAAAAATATACATAAACTATGTGAAGTGCCGTTTTTTTCGACAGTTATCAATGTTTGTTAATTTAACGCATTTGAAGCAAATTTTGTTTTAATCCTTATTAAAAACTGATTTGACAGAAGATACTTGTGATATTCAAATGCATGGTTGGTAATATAGCCGTCTGTTTTCCTCGCGGTCCGTACCTGCTATATTGATAACAGTGCTTTCAGAATTACGCGCAGAGTCAAGGAAATAAGGTCTATATTCTTCCGCATATAGCAATAAGTCGTAAAATTTTACGAGCTTACATCTCGGACTGTCATAACTTTTTGACGCATGCGTTTTAATTAAGATCTTAAATAATGTGCTTTAAATGTTCAATGTTTAAATAATGCCTTATATAGTCTGAACTACGCGACCATCTTACGAAGTTCCGTGGATCGTCTAACGTACCTTATGGACAGGTTTCGGGTATGATTTTGTTCGTGTTGGTGTATCTAGGGTATTTAATATCGTTGCTCAGGAACTGTAAAAATTACAGGAGCTTTTGATGTTAATTCGGATAAGCAGCCGGTTGTCAGACGCTGTTTTTATTATTTTATATTTTACACCATGACATACTAGGTAATTTAGTAAAAATACCTATTTGTATATAGCGGCTCGTTTATTATAACAATTTGGAATCAGGGACTGTAAAAATTGTATAATACCTTATGGTATTGATTCGTACAAGCAGCCGGTTGTCAGCCGCTATTTTAACGTTATATTATGTTTTAAACCATGAAATAGTAGGTAATTATTGAGTAAAAATACCTATTTGTATAGAAAGCCTCGTATATTATAACATATTCGACTCATAACTGTCAAACTTATAACACCTTTTGGTATTAAGTCGGATAAACAGGCGGTTACTTTGGTTAATTATCCGATAACAACCGCTGTTTTACAACTACATTCAGTACACCAAACGCGACATCACCATACTCAGTGTGAAAGTTTACTCTGAATTGAATAAATCGATAGGTCTACTTTGGAAACCTTGATCAAAACAGCTTTACAAAAACTCGGCAGTATTTTGAAAATTAATAATATTCGGCTTTTTAGTTCACTTTTATATCTTGCCTTGTATGCTGAGAATAAACTGTGGGCTAGAAAACATTGTCGATACATGGAAAACAGGAATATTTTTCCACTTCCATTGATTCGATCTCCTAATATTGGAATAAGTTGGTAGTAATAATTTAATAGTAGTAATTTCAATTCTCCTTACTCTACAAAGATTTATTAAGAACCAGCCTACCCTACTTTTTATCTCGCTCAATTGTCAAATTACTATAGAATTTGATAGTCAGACGCTATAAAAAACGTGATACAGTGTTAATTGTGGTATTTATGCTACGAGGACAGGGCTGCATGCGTATGATTACGAATTCTTTGCTTCAAGTTAAAAAGAAGATTAAAAAGTAAACAGTTTCTATTTCCTGTGTAGATGGCGCTATCGTCCTTAAATAGTACGCGTGTTGTCAGCCATTTTCATTCGTAAAACGTATTTTCCATCTCTTTTTAACTTAGCTCGTTTTCAGTTAATCTAACAGGGACAAACAATGTTTCTCTTTTAAGTCCTAACGAATAATAACGAACTGTGGACTGAAAACGTAAAAAGTGTATTTAAAATAAACGAAAATTGTGTGCAATTCAAAATATTTAATATACAAATTCTTACAAATGTATTTATGGAGATAATTTAATATTAGAACAGAATACTAAAAGTAGCCGAATATATGGATAATAATGAGCGAGAGGTAAGTATGTTGTCAATCGATAATGTCGTCATCGGTGTTTTTTATACATTTTGTTATAAATTCCGGACTTGATGTAGAGTTTATGAAATAATCATGCTTACCGAGAGTAATTTGTTTGGTGTCTATTAAAACTAATACCTAAAATTTATTGAATAAATCTACAGTTAAGTAGAGTTTTGACCACCGTTATGGCGTAACGTTTTTCCTTCGAATTTGATCTTCAAATAATAACGGATTCTTTTTTGAATATTTAATAATCTACTTCTATAAGTTTTTAAAAACTCACATTGATGAATTGTTATCATTCATTTGTTATACCTTCTTAAAAAGGGACTTATTATCATCGAATAAGTGTCTCATTGTGGCTCAATGCAGATTGTTTGCGTAACAGAAATGCATAGAAGTACAAGTATTTTTTTATTTTCTAATAAGACTTAGTAAGTGTTACATTACTAAACGCACAATTTATGCCACTATTAAGTAAT